TGTAGGTTTAATTAGAGTTATATTTATTGTCTCATCTAACACTCTAACTAACTATGTCTGTTTTAACTTTTTAGCACACTTCCCAACATGCATTTTATTTCAAATACAATTTGTCTTCCATTTTTTGTATTTGGAAGAACGTTCTTTTTCCTTGTTACATTTTTGGTTTTTGGTCTTTTCTCTATTCAAAGTGAACATGTCCACTTCTCATACTGTGTGTTTTAAGTACTTCCATCAAAAATGTTACATCCATTGTCCAGCAGCATCGATCCTCGATGGGAATGTTGGAGAGCAAACAGCTGCATACTGTACACAAACATCCAGTCCATGTAGATTCCATGTAGTAGTTATTTACTTGCCTTATTTAGATTGTGACGAAGTAACCTTTGCATGACCATGGAATATTATTATGACTATTAAACAAATACACTTACACTGACATAGCTCAAAATACTGAGGACTTGAGGAAGGAAAGTCCCATGTTTTTTCTTAACTGAATTAGTGGTGTGTTTATTTGTTCATACATCTTTAGGTGGGAGCAGTCGGCCGGGTAGAGAAAGACATAACGAGAGAGTAATGGCGTGACAGCATAGAGAATTACCCAAAATGAACAGACGTGGAAAGAGAGAGAAAGAAAGACTCTATTCAACAAGTGAGGTTTCCATTCTAACCATCAGCTACTGCTCACTTGCAGCCGGCCGATCAATAGAAGCACAGCTCTGCAAGACAACTGGAACAGAAAACACACACGCACCAATAGGCTGAAACCTGCGGGCTCTCCAAAGACCGGTGGCCCCTGAGTTTCCTCTCTTGCACAGGCGCACAATGCAACCAGTAAAGCACAAGACGTACAAAATTACTATCCCTCCTACTGCCGCAGGCTTGTTTTCTCTCTCAAAATGCCCTAACCCGCTGTTTCTCTAAATCTACCCTCTTCTGCCTCTAATTTTCCCTAATCGGTCGTATGCACGTATATACACATGGACATTCTTCCACGTAGACTGATTATAGGGTGAGAAACCAACGAAAACACAGAAATATACACACATGTACAAGTCTTTGCAATTAACCTAACAGAACCAGGCCTCATCTGAATCTAAATGAAGAAAGCAAACTTCTCCATATACAAACCGTATTTGTGAGCGTGGTTTGGAGGCAGCCATTTTGGTGTGTCTGTGATCATTCTCATGCAGCTATTTCAGTGCTGCAAAAATACATGCTGGCATGCATGTACGTGATTACATAATAATTAGAATTAAGTGTCATTCCCACCATATTATTCCACCTGAAAATATGTTTAAGTAGCGAGTGTTTTGTCTGCAATGACTATTAGTACACTTGATTTCACACATTTTTTTGGAAGGGCACATAACGTTGTCATTCTCAATAGAATGCTCTGATTGGCTCGGTTCGTAACTGAGGAATCAGCGGTCATCAGGCCTAAATGTTTGAATCTGTGATGTGAAGTTTGTTTCAGAGTCACCCTCTGGAGAACGTGTCTGCAAGGGAACATTCTCATTATCAGGATAATGGAGGTATCTTTAATTCTACTAAATATCCTCTTCGTAGCTTTGTGTGTGGGTGGATAAATAACATTGGCTGATCAACCAAATAACATGCCCACACCTTTACATAATGCTGAAACAGATGAACCCAATGGAAAAAACATCAATACCAAAACGTTGTGAAGCTCCATATGTGCAGCCAATTTTGTACAGAAACCGTAGAGCATTCAAAGCATTGAAAACATCTTGTTTGAATGGACAGATTGTGCCCAACCATACAGTAAATGGCCCCTTTAAAGCTGTTTCTGATTAGCGGTTTTCTCTTTTTAAAAGCCCAGAGATGTTATGTGTAATGCAATCTCCTGGCTGTGTCATGCGTCTACCTCAGTGCGTACGCTGTGGAAGACCTCAGACATGCAAACAAAGGAGCCTCTGTTCTGGCTCCATGCACCTTATTCACAGGCACACATCACGTAAAAGCTCGGCCGTGCATCACGTCGCAGTGTTTAAACCTGCATTAAGAAATACTGGCTCCTTCTTTCACAATATGGTCGACCACTGTGGAGCTACTGTGTGTGAGTAAAAGTCTCGCTGCAGTGCTGTTTACACACAATAAACACAGGAGAAATAGTGGAGATTCTGCAACGAGTTCTAATAAAAACAAAAAAAACACATACAAATAATTATTTTTTTGCACCAGGATATATGTCTTCAGCATATTCATTGAACTGAAAAAGATTCCATGTTTTCAGCTTGAAATTGCCAAAGCAAGCCGCTGCACGGCTAATGCAAACAATCAGGCATTGGTTGAAACATAATTGACTTAGAGGGAGTCTGATGGATTTTGTATGACGTGTAAATAAAAGGCAGACGTTTTGATGTAATGGCTTTGAAGACCTTCATAAGTTAACCTCTTCAAACCGTTTGGCAGGTTAACCACTGTAAATATGAATTATTTATCATCCAGGCTCAATACGTAACCTTAAACATTAAATGGGAAGGCGCCCAGCTCACCCTTTCCAAATTTTCAACTGCTGTATTAAAAAAAATCGGATGCCAAAACAGATAACTGTGTGTTTGGAGGGCTTTTCAGAACTAGTGTGCAAGCCTTTATTTGACGGCGCTGACAGAGCATCGACTGCGACTGGCATGTTTTGAAAAGCCCAAATTGCCTCAACCACTAAGAAGGTATTTGTTGACACGACACTGCAAACCTGGAATGGGTGTCAATGATTGACACATGACCACTGCAGCAGAGAAACTACAAACCAGGACATTCATCCCAATTAGCTCACACCCATGTGTGCACGCATAGTGACATAATCAGGGCAGACGAGGACCTCATAGTCTGAGATGTGAGCTTTAAGAAGACAATAAGCTGCTAAAGCTTCTACTCGACCCCTGATTACAGGCAGTCAATCCCAACATCAAAGGAAAGACCACCTTATGGCTATAGGATGACGCCTGTGTGTAAGAGTTTATGAGAGTAGGAGCGTGCATGTGGGTGTGCAATCGGGTTTATGAGGCTGTGTGTGGTGTTTGTGTGCACATGCACGCGTTCTTTTCTCACCAATCTTTGCAGAGAACCTTTTTCTGGAGAAGGAAGCCGGTTGTTGAGTTATTTTAGACATTATTTTTCATTACCACGCATACATAAACTCATTTATCTTTTAAATCCTTATTTCATTGGGCTGCTAGAGTGTTGGATAGCTGCTCTGCGACTAGCCACACAGAGTCGGCCATCATTTCTTTGTATGGAGGATCCGTACAGATTAATGAGGTCCACTTTTGCTGAAAATATCTGAGGAGAGGGTGCACATTAAACTTGTTTAGTATGAGTACTTATTATTTAAATCGTTTGAGAATTTTTACATGAAGCAATTCTCCACTCAAGGAAATCCCCTTGAACTCAAACTCCTGGTGGTAGAACATCTGGGCTAAACCTCTGCAGTCGATTTCGGCGCCGTTCTTGTTCCTGCTCCAAATCCCCCAGTATCACTCTGTCACCCTCTACTCTTGACACGTAACAACAAAACTATACGCACTCAGAACTAAATTAAACGTGTTGATGATCATCTTTTTTGATGATGTGGTAAAAATAATGACTGATTATAGTTAAGTTGAAGCCTTTGTGCAAGGAAATGAATTATGTCAAAGGGGGTCCTCTGAAGAAACGTACTGCATGCGTGTAACGGTCTGCCCAGATGTCTCGAGGGGTACGAGCTCATGACTAACGAATAACTTTGTGTCGAGCGAATGTGTCACTGCCTCTTACAGTGCGCGTCGCGGGTTTGAGCGTGTGCTCCGGCGTCCTCGGCCTTCTGGCCTCGTCCCGAGTCTCTCTGACAGCATTTAGCGCAGCGCTAATTGACGAGGCGCCTCCACCTCGTCCCGTTTTTGTCAGAACACGAAGCCCTCGCAGCTGGATCAACAAATTCTGGAGTTGCAAATTCCGCCATATGTCTGGCCATGTGTTCCCGTCAGGGCCGCGCTTGTCTAACTCGCTGGGTCTGTGACTGGGAAGGGCAGCGCCTGACTGGGCAACGCAATTCTGACACCCGTACGTCAAATAAAGTAACTCGGGTCGGCGATCCTAAGCTTCAAACAATGACGCTCTGCGTCCCCTCCTCTGGTATCAACTTTTGCATGTGTGAGTGACGGCGCGTCATTAAACACTTTTTACTCGCAAAGCGCCTGCAGACTCCGAGGAGCGCTGACCGAGCCGCGTTCCTCGATGCGTTGAGAGTGAAAACCGGTCGGACTGGGAAAAGTGTTTCAATCTTCTGTGAACGGTGAGATATTGGAGCTGGTGACTGAGGAGCCGTCACTGTCACGGTTTAATCACTCGGATGTTATAGATATTTGTCACGGTGAAGTCCTTTGGATGAAATCCTCTATCAGAAGGCTCATATTTTGTGGAATTAAAGGGATACTTTGGCTTACGGGGATTTAAGTGTTTTTTTCTACTTAGCAAGAGAGAGTCAAAGTCAAGGAAGCCTTTTTTAGATTGATGCTCTGATTAAAGCTTAGTTGTTATGACGACCTTAAAAGAAGCTTGAGAGATTAAGTGATCTGACAAATTGCATCTTTTTATACTGTATACATTTCAGACACCTGGTAAACCTTCCAACCATGAGACACAATTAGGATTGATATTCACCTCGTTCACAAATCAGTTTGAAAATTGATTTTGACTCCCTGGTCGAATGACAGGAAAGGAGAGGAGACCACTAAGGCCAGTTTGCTTCCCCTACTGGGGAACAGAGGTCAATGTGAAGATGTAATTGAAGATGTCATACCCACAACGGTTAATAATGTCTGTTTTACACTTGCATCACAGGTAAAGTAAAGCTTCCATTTATTGCACCGTCTCAATGTACAACTAATCCGATATTCAGTTAATGAGCTCGTTAACTGGCAAAAATATTTCCCAACACATTGAATTTATTCAAACAACTCTGTGGGGTTAATAGAAAAACACGCGGGCTGTCTTACCTGGTTTGGTGACCGAAAGTCTTGGTTATTGTCATTCATGTACATGTTGTCACCATCAAACTGTGGGGAGAAACACAAAGGAGAAATGAACATGCTGTGCACGAGGAGGTTTGAGAATTGGGGGGCCGCCCAGGAGGTGCAAAGAGTAAAAGCTCTTTACGGGTGGCCTGAAGTGTGAGACTAATGACTTTGTCACTTTGGTTAAACCTCGCGGTGGCACGGCGGCGTGCGTAATTACTGCTCGTCAGCGGGCCGGTAATTAGGCTACACGAGCACAGTGACGGGAGATGGGCTTTTCCCTGTGGGGTCTGCTGCGTGTCTGACAGAGAATGAGTGTGAATGAAACTGAGAGGGCCTACAGTAGTAAAGGGTGTGTGTGTGTGTGTGTGTCGCACAGTGGGAGAATGCTGAGTCTTCGAATGGCGCTAACAAGGCATTGAAAGATCACTTGCTGCAGGTGCCAAAACACAGTTTGACACAACAAATGACCCCTGACCCCCAAGGGTTCTGGGAAACAACAGGAGAGCACCGGACGAGCGCTACGTGCAACACATTTCCCGGGAGCCTAAATGTCTGAGGAATTTTCCGCTAAAAATCAGCTTTGAGTCAGCTATAAATGAAGGGAAAAACCACACAGATTCTGTTTTTAGCTACAGAGAAAATGAGATGCTGGCTCACAAATGGCTCAGCAACTGGGCCTGTGCAGTGTCAAGGTGACAGAGCGACTGCTACAATGTTAAGAAGAGCCGTATTGTTATCATCAAGCTTTTTCATACCAGAAAAAAACCCTGCCCTGGACCAGATGATAACGTTCATAAACACAATGACACACTGAAAACCCAGCGTGTCTGAACACTACTTTTTGTTGCTTTAAGAGATAAACACACGCTAGAAACGAGCAAACTCAAATGGATGATGAAATGTATTTTCTCAAAACAATAACTAGGTAGACTAATGGACGGAAATGGGCAGAATTCCTGAGGGGGGTATCTAATATCTACGCTGGTAGACAGGAAAAAGTCAAAGCATCTTGCTGAACATGAGCGGTGAGAAGGAGAAATTACTGTACGCTATTGCAGGAGAGCGGCCGGGGAAATGTGTGCCTGCCTGAGGGCAATGGTTGGTTAACGATGCATATCATGGAGGCCCTTGTGAGGATTCACTACGTTATTCTAATGATTAAATTTACATCCACCCGCAGACGCAAACATGGAACTGAGACTGTGCACGGCAGCGAACAAGACGAATTCAAAAGCCCGATAATAGCGAGAAAAAGTACGTAAGTTTGTTTCAAGAGACACTGAATGTTTCCCGACTAATTGTTTAATGCTACTTGCTGAAGCTGCAGACGCTGATGTGCTTAATGAAGCACGGCGGCGTCCATCACAACTGAAGCAAAAAGTAACATTAGCTCACCGAGAGGGCCAAAGGGATGTTGACCTTGATGTCGTATCTGCAATAAACTATTCGCTCCTCACATGAAAGCCTCTTGTCCTCGCCTAACTGAGCAATTTCATTCCATTGAAATCCACTTCGATATCAGTGGTGACGTGAAGCCATTTTGAGAGCATCTTTAGGATAAGATTCTCTGGGGTGAAAAGAGCACAGTCACTGAATAAAGTCATTATTAAGCACAAAACGCTGCCTGCTCTTATGTTATGGCTTATTTTCCAAACTGCATTTTTCAACACAAAGCCTTATTGCTGTTTTTCTTTTGTCTCTACCGTAAGCAACCAAGTAAAACAATGCTCATTTTCCATGATTACATGTATTATTTAAAAAAATGTAATATTATCCAAAAACAACCTGGAAGGGTCGGCCATTTTGTGCTTCAACATGGCTGCCCATATATTGCAATGTAAAGCTATTTCCCCCCTGCTCCTCTCTCGATAGATCTCTTTTGCAAAGCCTCGCTCTCCCACTTAAAATGCCAATTTATCCTCGGCTCAATGCTATCAGCTCTGCCATTACTCAACATTTACTGCAGAAATCATCTTCTCTTTCTCCACTGTTCTCTCTCTCTCTCTCATGTTTCCCCTCTTGCTCTTTTCTCTCCATCTCTCTTATTCCACTCTCCTCTCTCAGTGTTACAACCTCCTTCTACTCCTCCATCTCCCTCCCCCCCTCTTTTCCTGTTACTTCAGTGGGCCTTGGCATCGCTTTCTCATCGGCAGTCTAATTGGGCATTCTGCCTGAGACAAGGGCCTCATTAAGCAGTAATTACACACATGTTGTTTTCGGCAAACATCTCTATTTGGATTGCTTTGCATGGTAATTGTTCAGCAGGGACCACTGCTCGTAATGCTTCCCTCCGTGACACACGTGGTGCTGGGAGAGAGGAATAAAAACATGGTGGCGAAGGATGGAGCGGCAGAGAGGGGGGAATGTGAGGATAGAGGAAATAATAATAGGTTGTGGAAGGGAGACAAATTGAGAAATAAAGAATGCATGCACGGGAGAGAGAGAGAGGGAGAGAGAGGGAGAGAGGGAGTCAGACAGACGGAAAGGAAGGAAGAAGCCACTGCTGAGGCAGTAAATGGGGAAAGACAATGAATAAATGACAAAGACAGAGGAAGACGGAATCGGCGTGAGATGAAAATGAGGTGGAAGCGGCACAGAGAGGATGGAGAAAGGAAACATAGAGAGAAGGAGTAAATGAGGAAGAAAAGTAGGAAGACGGTGGAAAAGAGAGAGAGAGAGATTCCCAGAACTAGGTCATGCCTTGCAATCATCGACAAAGCTGAGCGTTTCAAAAATAATGAAGCCACAAGGTGGAAGTAATGCTAACTAGCATACCCAGGGAAAAACATGTAATATTTACACAGTGCTAATGGCGCCATGCAATGCTGGAACCTTTTCATCTTGGAGTGCGCTGGTGAGACAGTTGATGGCAGGATCGGAGGCCAAATTATAGAGCGCTCTGAAGATTGTGGTTGATTGATGGACAATTCAAATAAGCTCCTCATGAAGCTTTTCTGGGCAACATCTGTTTGTGAAGAGGGGGGGGGGGGGGGGGGGGGGGTTGGGTGGAGATGAACCGCTCGTGTGTCTGTGTAATGTAATGCAACAACTGTCCAGTCATTAGAGAGAAAAATGACCTCGCAACGGTAAAAGAAAACGCCAATTATCTACGAAGCAAAATAATTATTTAAAAAATAAGGATATTTGCTGTAACTGTAACTTTGCTGTAACTGTAACTTTGCTGTAACAGTTTGAAATATATGTGTATATATTTGACATTGAAAATGACTAAAGTATAATTTAGGTTTATTTATCAAAGGCTTGTCTCAAAGGGCTCTGTACATAATGGAAAGCATGTAGATGTTCTCAATTACTGTGAGGAAAATTGAATAATTCTATTTTAGTGGTGCTTACTTTGCTGCAGAGACATATGATTGCCTGTAAAATATAATGCTTTGTTAAATATGTAACAATTCAAGTGTACATAAATCAGTTTAAAATCGGCTTTGGCAAGTTAATGCTGCTTGTAAGTTACAGCATCAAAATGAACAATCCAATTATATAAATAACTGAAAGAGGCCAATTGTTTAATTATTATTCTTTTTTTACATTGTGCATGTTCTACAGTTGCAGATTTTTCACCACTTTCTTATCCATCACATGCCACACTGCAGTGCATGGGACAGGACATGCACTGCAGAATAACTACTTTTACACTGTCAACGTTCAAGTAGACCATCGCGACATCTGTAAAAGTGCAACAATAAAAACATATAGTACCACACGGAAGAACCAACAACCTACAAACTTTTAAAACTTTTCAATAAATTTAATAGGGAATCCATGAGCAGAATGTGTAATACTTGTGACTTTAAAAGCCTTTGCCAGTGCACAAAGTCTCTAAAAATAATTCTCTCACCGAGCGGAATTAATAAGCCCAGAACAGTACACAGCCATTCTGTGAAGAAAGGGGTGTGGTGGTGAAGGGGGGCGGCGGGTGGGGGGCTCATGCAATATGTATGCCTGTTTGAGCACCCTTCTTCATCATCTTCCCCCTCTTCTTTTTATTTCTCTTCTTACGTCTTTTCTCTCTCTCTCTCTCCCTCCCTCTCTCTCGTCCTCTGTTCAATTAAGCAGCAGGAGAGACGCAGCTAACCTCAACCTGAGACAATGTGCCACGGATTTCTGATATTGCCCAACTCGTCACTGATGGTTCAAAGCCAGAAGAGCGGGTGAGATAGAGACTGTTGTGTGCGCCCAAACATGAATGCAAACACACACACACACACACACACACACACACACACACACACACACACACACACACACACAACAACAGAGGAAAAGTGAAAGACAAAGAGGCAGAGCGAGACAGAATGGAAAGACAGAGAGAAAAAGAACGAATGAGTGAACAAAAGAAAGAAAGGGAGCTATGGTGGATATATTGTGCAGAGAAGGAGAGAGTGGAGACTATAGTAACAGTTCTGGTGTTGCACCACGCCCCAAGCAAACAATGAACACGGGCAAACAATGAACATACGCACACACGCGCACAAAATCACACGCACACAAAGCCCATAAAAAGCGCAGCCTGTGGCCATGGCGACACATGCTCTGCTGTCGTTAGATAAGGGAACGGGGGCCTCTTCCTGGGTTCTGAGAGTTTGATCCTGCACACTCACAGACACACACACACACACACACACGCACACACACACACACACACACACACACACACACACTACAGGCATACACACAAACTACTTGTGCCAGTCTGCAGCAGCAACACGAGGGTCACATCCAACAACTCCCAGCATTTTATGTACGGTACTCTCACCTTTATTTGCTGTGTGGTTCTTTTTTTATATGCAAAACCCAGGCTACGCTCATCTGCACACACGGGGGTCCGGTTCAAAGGCCCGATTAGATATTGACAAGATACAAGGAGCAGCCCCTCATTCCTCTCAGAGGGATGTTGATGGAATTGTGCTTGGTATTTCCTGGCCTTGTGCCATGTTAGAAGTGCGGAGTTAGAGGAATTGTGAACATGAATCAGCGTCATACTGCATTTCCTCAAATAATATCTTCTTTACCTCTCCGGCTGTTCTTCTGAAGAAGTATTTCGTTTTCCAGTATTGTGCGTGTAGGTGTTATCAGTTCACAGCTAATGAGCATCAGCTCCGTTTGTTATGATCAGGTCCGTCAAGCATTCCAGACACACACAAACACAAAGTGCAAGAAACGGCTTGAACAAAAATAGGAAAAAAAGATGTTTTCACAAAAGACGCGATACAGGTTCCAACCGCTTCCGGCTCCACCTATACCTTGTGATGTGTAAAAATAAAACAGCAGGCTGACGCGCTCATTCATCCATTTTCTGTTGCACTGGAGCAACCACAAAACAGAAGTAACAGTCAACAGCAGAGATGGAAGGAGAGATTGAGGAGAAAGGCTGTGTGTACGTGTGTGTGTGTGTGTGTGTGTGTGTGTGTGTACGTGTGTGTGTGTGTGTGTGTGTGTGTGTGTGTGTGTGAGAGAGAGGCCAGGTGGGGTTGCTGCTAAATAAAGGAAAGTTTTGTTTCCACTGTGGCTTACAGTTAGTCAGTGAGTTCACATGAGGAGAACGCTAATATGATGATGCCAACTCTCCCTCTGCCAAGAGCAATCACAGGACATTGCTTTTAAAAAAACAGTCCTTTCTAATTTTACTTTTATTAAAATGATTAAAAAAGGAAAACTATAGAAGACATTATATTTATGAAGAAATTAATTAATACAATTAATAATATATTTTTGTTAAGTCAAGAGAAACAATAAATAACAATAATAGTTCTTCATCTTAGAATTGTGTGTGAAATAGGAACTAAGTAAGTTGAAGGGAGGACTCAGTCGAGTGCAGATCTTCACCAAGCGTGTAAAGAATATCCACTGCTGCGCACACATTTGATTAAAATAAAAATTTAGATGAAAAGCAGACAAGTTATCCTACAACACACGTCATGCATTCATCTAAAAATGGCATCCTAGTGGCAACATGGTGCGAAGCGGTGTGTGTACTGTCGGCCCTGTTACCTCAGAACGCATTGTCTAAAACACACGTCAGGGGCCAGTAAAGAGTAGTAATGAGTGAGGGGTTTAGCACTTTAACCAGCGTGCTGCCTTAACTAGGAGACCAGAGTTGTGTGCCGCATACTGAGGAATAATGCAATATCAGACTGAGGAGAAACATGGGTGTACTCTGCCCTGAGTGTTTCTCTGCTGAAAAGCCAGAGCTTCCCCTTAGGAACTGGGTAGAGTATATTAAATTCACATTAATCAGGTACATGAATCTTAACATGATTTGCTGTTCTACATTAGCTTGAGGTGTAAATATTTTGAGTTGAGGACTTTTATTTCGTGGACCATGGAGACCCCCAAATAAGAAAAAGTTTAAAATCACCATAGACGTAGACCACAAAATGAGAAAATACACCTTTTGTTCAAGAAAAGGAGTAGGGGGAAGCAAAAGCTTATAGATACCCACCCCTTTCTTATCCATATTCTCAATTAGTATATATTACTTTGAAGATTAATATCATACATACATACACACACTCACACACACTCTCACCCACACACACGCACGCATACTCACACGCACAAATAAATACAATTTAAATTTCCTTCACTTAATATTTTCACAGATCTCATATTTGGCTAATGTGTATAATTTAAGATGTTTTTTGAACTGTGCAATATGTTTACAATCTTTGATCTTATCTGGTAAGTTATGCTAAATTAAAGTGAGAGGTGGTCAGTAACTGTCGTTGTGTTGTATAAAAAGCTATCCGGCTGCAGGTTTAGGTCAAAGCTTTTCCACCTATTGGACTTGTTGGATAAAACATGACTGCATTGTCAATCCAACAGGTGGACGTGTGTCATAAAGCATGAAGTGATGCACCGGTAGAGGGCGGGGGGCGACAAACCGCCTGCTAAACAGTGTCACTTTCCATGTGAGTGTGATGCATCTGTAACCGAAGTACACACAAAAGATAGAACAGAAAGAAATTGTCAAACCAAAGTGCTACCCACACTGCCTCTGTCATCCGGCCGTGGTGGGGTTCAACGGCCTGCCTGCTAACCAGTGCTGGGAAACGCCTTCTTACCCTCTAGCACAGTAGCACATGCAATTAGTAACCAGCTCCGGCGGCTGCAGAACAGTAACAAACCTAACAGGGGTGCAGTGAGGAAAGTGGTCGTCCCACCCGTCCACCTGACACACACACACACACACACTGTGTGATGATGGGAACGTGTAGGTGTGTGCGTCTGTGTCTACAACATGTGTGTCCGTACAGTATGAGCTGTCTCTACGTGAGTGCACGGCTGTGAGGTTTCTCTGGCAGCAGGAGCGGATGCACAGCACAAGCCACTTTTAACTGACTGAGGTAAACAGCTATGAGAAAAGATAAAGGGCTGAGTGAATGTCACATTACCCCAGCCTTCTGCCTCTGTTCACCGCAGCATCAGATAACTGCAGCAGGGGGAAAAAAAGCCTGGTTTCCTCTAACATATAATTGGTTATCATATTGCGATCTAGTGCTTTCTTGCCTCTGCAAAGAATAAATAAAATAAATCATTATGAGCCTCAGTCTGTTGCTATAGATTTCCCTTTTCTGTGTGCTGGTCTTCTATCAGCAACATGGCATCGAATAGGACGTACAGTTATAGAAGGCGGGAAGGAAGTGTTGCAATTGTATTGTTACTTAAGACCAGGCTGTGGTATGTTCACTTTCAAACAGCAAATGATTATAGAACCCGTAATACATGCACAATAAACACACCGTTTTAGATTTACCTTACAGGGAAGCCAGCTATCAAAAACATTTCACAGTCCAACAGATTACCATTGTGGGTTTAACTAAATATTGGAAATGAACAGGTAAGTAAGATATGACGATATGAGCAACATATGATTCTGATTTGTTCATTTCTGGGCAATAAGTACAACTTCTCTGTCAAATGATGCATCACAATCATTCATCAATAAAGAATTAAAAATTGGTATCTGTCAATTCTAGTAAGCAAACTTGTTTGTGAACGCAATACGTTGGACAGCATGCACGTATGTTTAAAACTCGAGTTATCCAAATTTTGGAGCATGCAAACTAACCCCGGGCCAGGTCAGTGGCTTAAGGTTGACCTTTCCAAATGAATTTGCTGACAAACAGAAGTCTCATGAATTGGGGGCTTTTGCGACTATATCTCACCACAGCAGTGGGCAGTCTTTTCCTAGCTGGATTGATGCCTGCAGGGTGGGCAGTGTGGAGCCTAACCCCTCGTTCACCCACAGTGTACCGGCCCTGTGGTTAGAGGGAGAGACAAGAGACAGAGAGAGGACACAGAGAGGACAAAAGTGAGGAAGGAAACGAGATGGCGGGGGCTTTAGTTAGCAAGATACAAGCAGGGCATTTGTAAAGCAACATGTCAAGACCCCCCCGACCCTCCCTGTCCCCTGAACCTCCCCCTCCCTCTCCCTTTCTCCAGTCGCTCCGCTCTGCGCCGAGCACTCGCATACGTGGGGGGGAGGAGACAACTGACACGAGGTCTACACTGTGTCTCTACGCAGCGCCGTGCAAGGGGAAGACTGGAGGTTAATGAGCTGACAAACCCCCCTCCCCCACCCCACCCCCATGCCCACCTCCCATCCTCTTAAACACAGAACCTCAACCAAACACCGGGGCTGAATGCCGGCGCTGAGCCAAGGATCCGGAGACTTTTGGAGCGGATTTACAATGCATGTACATAATTGGTGATCAAATATGGCTTACATCATAGATACAAACGGCAAACATCGGCTCATACCATCAAAAGCACATAACGCAGTGAACAAATGGTAACAAGTTGTTGGCTCCAAGTTGTTTTCCAAATGAACAGGATTTTTTTCTTTGGAAACTACCTTTTTGGAGAAAACATATGTCATAAGTCCAAGTGAAATTGTCCTCGGTAGGTTACAACTAATATGTAACCTACGACCACACTGGTGGCGCTAATGATAAGTGGAATGACCAACGTCATTAGATTCATCTTCTGGTTTGTCACTAATGTCAAAACATTCAACATTTCACTTTGGATGATTAGAGTCAGATGGATGGACGAGCTAACACGGCCACACTAAACGTAACACTGTTCACCCACAGGTTTGGTATCTTACCAAACGCTGCACAACTATGCACACAACAGTTGACCAGATGAGAACAAATGACTCTTGCACCTCGACCAGAGGTCTACAGCACTGCATGCAGTGCTGTGAATAACCAATCAGGTTCTCGTATTTGGCCGCATTTCTTGGTTGTCACGTGGTGGTGTGTGGGTGTGCAAGATGTTAAATAAAACCTCCGTGACCTTTAACTTTCATCAACCGGAAAACCAACAAGTAAAGGTGACAATTTTTTTTTATCTCAGTTGAAGTATGCACATACATAAAGTAAATTCACAGAGAAGTAAAACAAGATTTGGGTTGAAAGGAACGATTCTGAATTTATTTTAGCAGACAAAAAGTTAACACTTAATTACATTTGCTGAATATAACAATGAGTACTGCTGGTGTGTAATCTATATTCAATATAAGTCTTATTTACGTAGTGTAGCTCTATGCTGGCCTCCAGGTGACTCTAGTCACCATGCCTTGTGCATTTGAGCTGCAAGCTTTCAGAAAGTTGGAGCTATTTAATTTCTTTTAAATAGAATTTCCCTGGTGGGTCTCCGACTGCAATAGCTGATGTGCCTTAATTCTCTAAAAGAATATGCAAAACGTAAAAACCGTGGGGGTAAAATATCATTGTTCATCACATCAGAGAACATTACCAAAAGAAGAAATATAATTGACGATGTTGCAGCAAAGTACTGCAGAGCTTGAAAACAATGGCAGACGGGTGATTAGTCATTAGTGCCCATTGTGAATCTTTCCATGGAGTAATTTGTGAGAAGGCCTGTGCATTTTTAATATTCTTAAACTGAACACAAACTCCATAAAATAATAACAGGCTTTTCACCTTACCACTATCCCAGCCTGTTAATTATTTACTACTAATGAATTGCCTTGGGGCAATATTCTTCCTAACTACAATATCAACCGTCCCAGAGAGGCTGAATCAGTTTGCTCAAATACTTAAATACATTGATGCAATTATGCTCACTGTCCTCATATATGAAGACACGGGTTGTCTGAGGCTGTCTCCTCCGTACGGTTTGCTGTGCAGTCTTAGTGGCGTAACAGCACTGCGGGTCAGGTGGCAGGAATCCACCCGGCTTGAATACCATGAATATCTTGCTGCTGCCACATTGCTGATGAGCCCTCGGGGGCCGGAGGCAGCCTGGGAGCAGAGAGCGGGGCTCCACATCACCCACTCCCGACGGGTAAGAAAAGAATGGCATAAGAAAGTAAAACTCTATGAAGGTACACAATGTAAGTGTGCGAATGACTGAGGCAACAAATACAAACAGTATCAGTGCAACCCTGCAGCCGCCTAGAGTTTATATTTCACAACAAAGTCTCTGCTAAGTGCAGGAAACTGTAGGATAACCTTCAGTATTTAAATGCATAGCCTAAGTGAATGGAAATAGATTTGGCCATCTGTTAGCTTCATCTATAGGGGACATCTTGATAATGTGTATATGTTGTTGCATTATTTTCCTCTTCTTATTATGAACTTATTTATCCCTTACAATAACACAAACACATACCCAGAGAAAGCCTTTTTTTCTATATTCCACAGCTCTTTCAAGTTTTTATTTATTTCATAGATATTAGAAACAAAAATGTTGTGTTTCTTTCGCCTTTTCACATGTGAAATATGATCTTCCACACGTTAAACACATGATAAAAAGCTACTTAGTTGAGAAGTTGACATGGTTTATATAAACGTAAAAACTATAGATAAACTAATAGCAGGGCTGTAGTCCTGTAACTGTGGGCCTCACGTGGATTTTTGACATCCAGCATGTCTCTAAATGTGGAAATTTCATAACTGCAGTCCAGTCAAAGCAACGAACTAAGCACTCAATTTCCATGTTTGACACTGTTTTCAGAAAAATGACCCAACTGTAATCTTCCACTGCGTAACAGAGCAGTTCAGACATGAATAGCAATGCCAATAGTCGATGCCATCCGGCTGCCACTATTACTCTTTGGCTGTAACTACGCCAGAGAGAAATTTAAGCGCAAAGCACTGCGCTCCTAGACAGCTGGTGGTTGTAAATTCCTATCAGGGAATAAAAAAACAGGGAGGGAGGGAGAGTTTGAAAGAAAACATATACTATTTTCATTTCAACTGCTTTAGGGATTAAGGCTCAGGGCTCCTAAAAAAACTGCATTAAAATAATCCACCATTTGCATGTTTTATCTCACAAAGGAGGCTCACATAGAAACACACGCACACCAACCCCCACTCTCTCCCCCGCCTCCCCCCTTCCATCTTCTCCTGTGTCCCCTCCCCCTATTCTGGGGGGGCAAACACACGCTCATGCGCACGTCACATATATACACACACTGTCATCATAAAACACACACACACACACACACACACACACACACACACACACACACACACACACACACACACACACACACGCACGCACCCACGTTGAGATCAACCTGCTGCCATCTGCTCTACGCACTCTGTACAATCCTCACAGAATACATTATTCACTACAACACATCACATCACATTCCCTCAATGTCACAGCCTTGAGCTGGAGAAGAGTGAGAGAGAGAGAATGAGGGAGAGAAGAGAGCAAAACAGCTATTGTACTCTGAAGAGAGAGAGAGGGAGAGAGGGAGAGAAGGGGGGGATTTGGCCTGTTACATGGTAGAGAAATTAAAGACAGTTTGGCTTTTATGTAAAACAAGGTTGTCAAAACTTGCTCCAGTTTCAGCCAGTAGGAAAGATTAAAACGCCTGACACGAGTGAGACAAAATGTACAGAATAACTTTGCATCATACAGCCAAGTCAGGTATGACCTTCAGCAATAAACACATGTATTTATTCAGGGTTCATTCATTCAGAGGAGAAATAACGCCAACTTCATTCTTCTTTTAGTTGTTTTCTGACAAAGGAATAAGCTACCAGGTGTGGGCTAAAAACACTTCTTAGTCACATAAAGTTATTGCTTGGTTTGGTCTTTTAACAGGATTGGTTGACAATAACAACAAAATACACAACTCCTCCCTTATGATTCAAGTATTCTCGGCTGGTGATGTGCTCCATATCACACATTTCTTTAAATCATCAATACTATTTACTCTGTTTATTAATTCATAGACATAGACAGCCTGCTTCAGACACTGCTTTATATTTAGCAGTTACAAGACAGAAACTTCCTGTGATTGTTAGTAGCTTATTGTGTACTAAACTACTGGGTTTGTGTAAACAAAGACAAAAAAAATTCTTCACTCAATATAATTAAAATAGAAGAAGTACATAAAACAATAGATGTATCCCTGTTAACATGTTTTACTCCCTATTATGTCTTGTTTGCAAAGCAGGATGCACGCGTGATGTGTGTGTTCCTGTGCGCGTGTCACCGTTGTGCGGTGGCAGAGCAGAGGGAGTGAACAGCTGGTAACCCCACACTTGATTACGTATTGACCTGCTTTGCATTCACCTGTTATTCAGGCGAACTTAATGTTTCCACTTGGTACTGCTGCAGCTGAGCTGCAATTAACCTCACCGTGAGAGCAACACAAGCAAGCAAGCCGCAAGTGGTCGGTCAAACTTTGCCAAATGTCACTCTGACTGATCCTCTAAAAATTATTTGTTTTTCAATTTTATTATCGCTCTGACTAAGAGAAGAAGAGCGTTCTGTCACCATTGTAACATGTTACAGTACCTAAGTACTCTATTCTGGGTCTCCACTGGGTACAGGTGATCTCCTGGCTGCAGATAATCAGCCTCTGAAGGTGTCATACACCTGTCTAAACACGCCATTTGAATGGCAGAAAACGTTGTGACGTCAGAAGCTTCCCTTCTCTCCTCTTTGCCTCCTCTTGTGTTTCCCCACCCTCCATCCTCCCTCCCTCCTCTTTATCCCAGATGCTCTCTGGGCTCTTGTCTGTGTTTGGGCTGCGACTGTGAGGGGTCACCGCCTGTCATGTTCTCACACGTGGAGCGCTGAGCGCGTGTGTTTGTATGTGTGTGGGAAAGGTAGAGCGAAACAGCAGACTCTCGTCGATGAATGATTGTATGAATGAGTGTGTACGTGTGTGTGTGTGTGTGTGTGTGTGTGTGTGTGAGCAAGAACGTCCCCTAAAAAAAGAGTGTGTGAATTCATCCCAATGTCTGCACAGTTGAGCCTGAGTGAT